AGCATTAAATAGTTTGTTAATAAAAAGTTTTGTTGTTGTTTGTTTTGTTATTCATTATTATTATTATTATTATATTTATAATTATTAGGTTTTAGTTGTGTTAATAATAATAATAGTGTAATATTATGTGTGTATATATATATATAYARTATATTAATTTTAATGGTGAAATACCTATGGTGTCCCCCACCCTCATTCCCCCCCCTTAGTGTTAACAAATACACACACATACTGTATATATTATAACTTAAATAATAATAATAATAAACAATATTACCGTATATTGTAGTATTAATAAGTGATGGGATATATTATATAATATACTGTATATTATATATATATATATATATAGTATATGTATAATGAAATGTATCGCTAGTTTTAATCAATTGCCATATAATTAGTTTTTGCTAAGTAATCATTTATTTGCTGTTAATTTTTATGTGTGTGTGTAAACTAATGGGTGTTTACTTAACATGTTTTGTTGTGTTAAACTAAAAAATATTTATTAGTTATTACAGTATTATTATTAGTAGTATTATTATTAGTAGTATTATTATATACATTAATAGTTTAGTAAATTTCAAGTTTATATATATATTCTCTCTCTATATCTCTCTCTCTCTCTCTATATCTCTCTCTCTCTCTCTCTCTCTCTCTCTCTCTCTCTCTCTCTCTCTCTCTATCACTATCTGTATTGTTGTTGTTGTTGTTATTGTATTAGATATGCTATAATAAAAAATAAATATTTTCTAATTAATTTCATATATTAATAATAATAATACTGTATTTTTACAATTAACTTTAAATTGTTATCTATAAATAAAAATGCTGCAATAATTTTATTATAATTTAGTATTTGTTGATTTTGTTAATTATTATTTTTATTATAAAATCTAATAATATTTTTACAATAGCCTAAAATGTTTTTACTGTTTTTTGTTTGTTTGACTAATAGTTTTTTTAAATAAAATAAAAAAACTTATGTTTTTAGTCGACAATAACTATTTGTTTAAAATTATACATTTTTATTTGAAACAAAAATCTTATATTTATTTTTTTAATGTAATATTTTTCTACTGTATATATCATATATACTGTATATACAGTACATCCCAATTACTAATTCACTTAATTAATACTATATATATATATATTCATTAATATAATTACAGTTAATCTAAACAAAAACATAATATAACTACAATTAAAACACAAACAATCAAACAAAATAAGTAGTAATTTATATCTTAAATAAAAACTTTAAATATTTTTTTTAATCTAATAATAGATAGACTATGAGATCAGTATTATTATTATTATTATTATTTGTTTGTATAGTTAATACACGTATAAATACAGTGTGTGTTTACTATTGTTAATAGACTAGTATTTAGTTAGTTTAKGTGTATATGGAAACACCTTTTTTAAAAATAAAAATAAAATAAAACTAAATATAAAGGTTCATTACTATAGGTGCCCAAAGCACCGGTGGTATAGTAGATATAGTACTGTATATACAAAATAGGATAGTATTTAAAAAAAATAATATAGTATTTATTGTAGTATATCTATAATACAGTTTATATACAGGTATATACTGTATATAATATTGTATAATAATGTGCTAAAAAATAATAATAATAATAATAATAAAATAGCATTATTGAAATATTCACACATATATAATACACACACACACACATACATACATAGATATACACACACACACACACACACACACACACACACACATACACACACACACACACACACACACACACACACACACACACACATACATACACACACACACACACACACACACACACAYACATACACACACACACACATACATACACACACACACACACATACATACACACACATACATACACATACATACATAAAATTTATAAACTAAATGCCACATACAATGATAATAAGCTGATTGAAAAGCGTAAAATAAATGTACAATTGATAACAAAAAAATTATATACACTTTAAAGTTATATACAGTACTATACAGTGTATAACTATGTATAACTACACTACAACAAYATACAATATATAATAATATATAATATTAGCGTTTAATAGCTAAAAATTAACGTCAAAATCAACGCATTATATATATACTGTATATATGTTTTTTTTAGTTTATTTTAATATACATTTATATATATATATGATTTAGTTTATGATTTTTGAATGACAAGCGTTACMTAATAATTGATAGATATTTTATTTTTTTGAATTTACTAAAATAAATTGTTTCTATTTTGTTTAAACTGATTTTTCAAATTATAATTTTAAACTAATAATATTCAAMAACAACAAAAATTGTTGCACTTATTTACAATARACAATAACTATAATAATAATAATATTATTATTATATGATWTAATAATAACACCATTATCTATATATATATATTTTTACAAAAAGATATACAAAAATAATATATTTATTATATATATTATATATAAATATATAATATATATATATAYAWAATTTATATAAATTATATAGTATTTAAAATATATAATGTATTTGAATATATTTTTGTTGTATTGTATTTGTTTCTATGAATTTATATAATATTATTTATTATATTATTATTATTATTATTTTGTTTGTTATTTTRATGTTTTGATAATGTTAGATTTTTGTTGTTGTAAAAATATATATATTATAGTACAAATTAATAKATTTTTTTCCTATTTAAAAATTAATTAAATTTAATTTTTAACTAATTTAAAATATATAATCTTATCTAAAAATAATACTGTATATATATATATAACTAGTATAGTTGTTATTATGGCGCCATCTATCAAATTTGTTTTAAAAATATATCCCAGGTAACTTTATTTTATTAATGTGATATTTGTAAATTAATTAATTTCTATAATACATTTCATAATTAATTATAATAAATATTTTTATATTAATAAATATTTTTATATTAATTAATTATTTATGTTATAATTTTAATTAATATTACTTTATATGAATAATATTGTTTAATAATTATTGTTTTATTATATTTTTTAATAAATTTGATTTTATAATTTAATAATAAAATTATTTTTTTTATTTTTATAATTTTTATTTAATTTTATTTTTATACAGTTATATTATTTAATATTATTATTATCTAAAATATAAGATATATATTTTTGATTAAATATTATTATATTAGTTTTTATTTAATATTTTTGAATAAAAAATATAATTATTATAATACTAATAGTAATTAAAATTAATTAAWTTAATTAATTAAAATAAAAACTTTAATTAAAGATAAWTTAATTATTTAAAAAAAACATTTTAAATTTTAAACATAYATTGTAGAAACTTTGTAAATAGAAAAATAAATATTTGTAAATTTAATTTYASTTTACATTTAATTAAATAAGAAAATATGTACAACAACAAAAACATATAAAATATTTTTATTTTTTGAAAAAATAATAATAAAATTAATGTTTTAGATAATGAAAAAAAATGTAAAATGTTTTAATAAAAATATTTATTTAATATATTTGTTGATATAAATGTCAAGTTCATGTGCAATAATATATTTTTTTTTAAAAAATAATATGAACCTAAAAAGTGGGCACATTTAATCAAATAAAAATCAACTAGCTAGCTAAAAAAAATTATTACATACATAAGCTGACAATAGTGTGTGTGTGTGTGTGTGTGTTGTGTGTAGTGTGTGTGTGTGTGTGTGTGTGTGATCAGGTTATTATCTCAAGTATAATAAATGCCAGGGTTGGAAAAATACATTTTTTTTAAAAATTTTTACATTGTATAATACAGTATTGGATGTATTCAACAAATTATAAAACTAATATATACACTATGTTAACAAAAAATTACTTAAAAATATTTAAGTAAAAAAATATAATTGCTAGAAAATGCATACAATTTATTTTTTATTATAATTTATTATTATTTCTAAGTTATCTAATAATTATTATAATTTAAAAATAAAAAAAAATGGAAATACAATATACAAAAAAAAAAATAAATAAATAATATTAAATCTATATTTATTATAAATTTATTATTATACTATGTGGCCATAAATTTATATTATTGTAACTCAAACTGGTCATGTATTATACAGTCAAATGGGTGTTTGTATTATACAAACATTTTTTGTGTCACTGCCAATACTGGTAAGTACTATTATAACAGGTGCTCTCTCTCTCTCTCTCTCTCTCTATATATATATATATATATATACATATTAATACTACTATAGCTAACACTAACTAACTAATAATAAGTCATATGATTAATCAATAATTATTAGATATCAATAAAAAAAAATTATATTTTATATGATATCATAGTAATTAAGTTTTTTTATTTTAATTGATTATAACCCTGTTTAGATATTCAATATAGTCATAGTATATAGTACTTATTGTATCATATGTCCTAATCATATATACCACATAGTTTATAATATCATATCATAATCAATGTTTGTTATTTTATGTTATTTTAAATTTTAATAACTAACCTAGACCTCCAGGTGCTATATTGATATATGCTTAATAAAAAAAAATAAAACAATATGATAAAATTTCTAAAGTAAGTTAATTAAATAAAAATGTACATAGTGCAATTTATTATTATTGCAATTATTTTATATATTAATTTGTCAACTGTCCTAATATAATATAAGTGTACTAATAATCGGTTATAAAAAAATGTGTGATTATTACAAGTGATTATTATTATTATTATTATTRTTATTACAAATAAATAGTATTATAAAWTTWTTTAATTATTATTAATAACCTTTAATATAAGTTAATTATTATTAGAAATATTGCATTAAAAAAATAAATAATAAAATAAAATAATTGAATTTCTTAGWAATTAATCAATAGATAACAATATTGTATCTAAAARTTAGATATATTTTTCAACAACAATTGAAAAGAAAAATAAATGTATAAATACTTAGCGTATTAGTTGAAAATTAATTAGTAGTTWAAAAAAAACTAATACAAAATGAAAACTATATTGATTTTATCGGTTTGCTATTTGGCTGCTGCCAGTGCTTTCCGTTTTGATATCCCGGAGCTGCCGGTCAATGCCAATGGTACGAGTTGGGCATTTTTGGCTGCCGGTGGTAACGGTTTCTCTCTAGACTGGGCTATCCAGGTATGCAAAAAAAAAAATTAGCATGCTAAATATAAACTTTAAAAAAATTTTAAATTAATTTTAATTAATTTTAATTAATTTTATAATTTGTAGGCCGATGTCTACCATGCCTTTCAAATATTCAAAGCCCGTGGCGTACCCGAGGAAAACATAATTGTCATGCATTTGGACAATCAGGCCACGAAAAAATCTAACCCTAAACCGGGCACAGTTATCAATGTCCCGGGTGGTCCCGATGTCTATCATGGTGTACCCAAACACTATACCGGTCAGGAAGTTACTGCCAAAGTAAGTGTTTGTTTGTTTTTTTGTTTCAACACATTGTTAATAAATAAATTAATAAATAAATTAATAAATAAATAATAATAAATTAGGAAATTTTTTTTAAATACCTCTAGTAATAGTACAATAACTAGTTATTTAAAATAATTATATAATTTAATTTAATATAAATACATTTGTTTATTTATATAATAATTATAATGTTTTTAGAATTATTCAGGATACTTTTTTTTATTATTATTATAAAAAATATCTATTGTTATAATTAGTTTTATTATTTAAATTATTTATAAATTATTAAAAAAATATATTTATTTTTATTTTACCTTGGTATGTCATAGAACTTTTTAGCTGTACTACGTGGCGATGAAACCCTAAAACAGCAGRGTAAAAAAGTATTGGAATCGGGACCCAATGATAATGTATTTGTCTATTTTATGGACCATGGTGGCCATCAGTTGGTTGCCTTTCCACATGGCGGCTATATGTATGCCAAAGATTTGATTGCCACACTCAAGGCTATGCATACCGAWAAAAAATTCAATAAATTGGTATTTTATTTGGAAGCCTGCGAATCGGGATCCATGTTCAATACACTACTACCCCAAGATATCAACGTRTATGCCGTCACCTCATCCCAACCCACCCAAAACAGCTGGGCCTGGGGTTACGATAAAACCTATAAAGAATATACCGGTTAGTATATACTAATTATATACTATATATATATATATAAAAATTAATTTAAATATAACCAAATAAATAAGTTTATAATAAATTATAATTAGTTAATTAGTTAACATAAAAAACAAACAAACAAATATAATAATTTTATTTAAAAATTATTATTAAGTTATTTTTTTATTAAAAATAATAATAATATTTTATAATATTTATAGTAAATTAAATTAAATAATTTATAATTAAAAGTATAGTTAGATAGTAAATAGATTTATTATTACTAAATTTTTTATTAATTAATTAATTTTTTTTAGAAAAATCTAATATTTTCTAATATTAATAGTAAATTATATTAAATAATCTATAGTTAAAGTATAATAAGATAGTAAATAGATTTATTATTATTAAATTTTTTCATATTTATTAGTTAGTTATTGAAAAAATAATTAATTAATTTAATAAATACTAATTAATTACTAATTAATTATTAATTTTTCTGTTATATTATCCAATAAATAGCCGGTTATTTTGCCTCACAATGGCTTAAAAATACTGAATCAAAGAAAACCGAGTCATTGGACGATCAGTTTACTTATATTAAGACCGAAACAGCTAAAGACTACTCTGACCCGCAATCTGGCCAGAAATGGCATCAAAATGCCGAACAATACGGCGATCTGACCGTTGCTAAGGCCGATATTGGCCAGTATGAGGGACCCAAAGAGTTCAAGTCGGCTGTTAACAGTGATGAGCACCAGGAGATTGTCAGCTTCCGTGACGTACCGGTAGCTATGGCTCAGAAAGCTATTGTCCAATCCGTGACCAATGAAGACAAACTCCAAGCTGTCGAACAATTGGAACAGATTCTGATCGGTCGTCAGTTGGTTGACAAACATTTTGAACAGTTAGCTACCGATTTGGAACAGTTGACTGGTCTGGACAGTCAACTATTGGTTAACCAACGCCAGGAGTTGCTCAGTGAAGGTTCGGGTGATTGTTATCAACAGTTTGTCGACACTTTCCACTCAAAGTGTTTCAATATTAACGAGGTTTGTGTGTTCATATATATATATATATATATACATAAAGTAAATATTTTTTAGATAATAATTGTTTTATTTTGTCTCTCAATACTATATATATATACAGAATCCATACGTTTTGGGCAAACTTAACGTATTTGTCAATATCTGTGAACACTTGACGGCCAGACAACAGRCCATTGCATTGAACCAATTGGTCGGTCAATGCGAGACCACTAATATTGTCGGCAAACCCGAGCATATCATCTAAAATAGTTAATAAAATAAATAACTAATTGTATATATACTGTATATTCATATATATATATTCAATATATATATTAATTAATATACTTTATAAAAACTGTAAAAAACATTGATTAACATCTGAAAAAATAAATTAATTTTAAAAATAMWATTTGATTAAAATCCATATTTTAAATAAATATTATTTTAATTTTGTAAAAATAAATTAAATATTTATATTTTTTAAAATAGWTAATAATTTTAWTAATGTTTTTTTGTAATTTAATAAATAATAATWAATAATTAAGATATTTTTTAGTTATTTTTTTTAAAARATCATTATATCAAAATTWTAAGTCAAATTTTTTTACTATATATATATATTAACTTAATWATTATTATAAAAATKAAAAATCAATGATAATATATAAAAAAATTATAGTTATTTTATTACTAATTTAAAATAAATCTAATTACTATTTATGTGTTTTAATTTAAGTTAAGATTTTAATTAATCTAAATAATATATTTATAATWATAACATCTAATAATATTATTAAAAAATTTTTAATGATATTTGTATATATTTTTWATTATTTATTTATAACTTAATTATTAAATAACATTTTTAAATATAAAATAATTGGTTGTATTTAATTAATTAATATCCCAATAATATCGGTTATAAAAAATCACATGTGTCTACTAACTAACTAAACTTAATAACTATTTTTTTTTAATTATTAGACTAACCTAGATGTGMTAGACCTCCAGGTGCTTAACTATACTGATTGMTWGTWTAGTTTGTTTAGCTAATTAAWTAGTTTGAAACAATTTATTATTATTATTATTATWATTATTGCAAATTTTCAATGTCWGTAAATGTAATAATAATAATAATATAATCGGTTAAWACTATTTTTTATTTTTAAATCAATAKATTATTACAATTATTAGCAAATAATTTTGTAAACTTAATAACCTTAATAATAATAATAATAATAATAATAATAAGTAGCTTGATAATTTTTYAATATAGAAATATTACATGAAAAATTAATACAATAATACAATAATAATATTGAATTTCTTAGAAATTAKCGATAGATAACCAACAAAATGTATTTTATCTAAWAAAAAGTTTTTTAACATTTTTTTAAWWAAAGAAATTAAATAAATAATATATATTTTCTATTGTTTGTTGAAAATATATAAATACTCAGTGTATTAGTWRRAAATTAATTATTAGTTTWTTTTATTAAACAACWARTAAAACAAWAATGAAAACTATATTGATTTTATCGGTTTGCTATTTGGCTGCTGYTGCCAGTGCYTWCCGTTTTGATATCCCGGAGCTGCCGGTCAATGCCAATGGTACGAGTTGGGCATTTTTGGCTGCCGGTGGTAACGGTTTCTCATTGGACTGGGCTATCCAGGTATGTGCTCATAAAAAAAATTTTAGCATGCTAAAAATAAAACTTGAAAATTTAATTTTTGAAAATTTATTTTTATTTTTTGTTTTTTGTAGGCCGATGTCTACCATGCCTTTCAAGTGTTCAAAGCTCGTGGCGTACCCGAGGAAAACATAATTGTCATGCATTTGGACAATCAGGCAACGAAAAAATCCAACCCTAAACCGGGCACAGTTATCAATGTCCCGGGTGGTCCCGATGTCTATCATGGTGTACCCAAACACTATACCGGTCTGGAAGTTACTGCCAAAGTAAGCTAATACCCGGCCATAGGTGTTATAATTAATAATTAATTTTTTTAATTAGCTAACCCATAGTAGTACACATTTCTATTGCCATTAAAAATAGTATAATAATAATTTTATATTTAAAAAAAATTATATTTGAAAAATCTATCCATAAGTATTTTTTTAATTAATACTATCATATTTATTAATAGAATTAATATTATAATTAAAAACCAAAACTATTTATAGTTATATATTATTAATATTAAATATTTTATTGTACCTTGGTGATATATAAATAGAACTTTTTTTTTGGCTGTATTACTTTTATTTATAACTAAAAATATCTATTATTATATAATTATTTATTTATTTTTTCTAAAAAAAATATTCATTTCAATAACGTTGAACCTAATTTATAGAAAAATTACAAAAATACTTATTTAATTTTATTGTACCTTGGTGGTTTATCATAGAACTTTTTAGCTGTACTACGTGGTGATGAAACCTTAAAACAGCAGGGTAAAAAAGTATTGGAATCGGGACCCGAGGATAATGTATTTGTCTATTTTATGGACCATGGTGGCCATCAGTTGGTTGCCTTTCCACATGGCGGCTATATGTATGCCAAAGATTTGATTGCCACATTGAAGGCTATGCATACCGATCGGAAATACAATAAACTAGTATTTTATTTGGAAGCCTGCGAATCGGGATCCATGTTCAATACACTACTACCCCAGGATATCAACGTATATGCCGTCACCTCATCGACACCCACCCAATCCAGTTGGGCCTGGGGTTACGATAAAGTTTACAAAGAGTATACAGGTTAGTTAGTTAGTTTTTTTTAATTAAATATATATCGTAATTAATTAATTAATTAAAAATAACTTAATTAAATAATTATAATTAGTAATTTTTATTTAAAATTATTATTTATTATTATAGTTTTAATAATCATAATTGGTGTTAACAAAAACAAATTTAAAATTATAGTCAATTAATAATAATTATTATTATTATAATTATATACTTAAATTAGTTACTTAAATTTGAATTAAAAGTTAATATATTAATGTTTTAATTGTTACCGAAAAAWAAAATRTMCAAGTAAAATTAGATAGATAAAACAATTATGATATATTAATTATTAATATAAATTTAAAAATTAAAAAAATTATTATTATTATATCATTAGTTAGTTTAATAATTAAAAATTTACACAAAAAAAATAAAATATAATTAATACAATTGTTTTTTCWCTCWCTCTCTCTCTCTCTCTCTCTCTCTCTCTCTCTCCTATAACCTAATCACACAAATAGCCGGTTATTTTGCATCGCAATGGCTTAAAAATACTGAAGAAAAACAAACCGAATCACTGGACGACCAGTTCGAGTATATTAAGACCAAAACTGCCGAAGACTATCACGACCCGCAATCCGGCCAGAAATGGCATCAAAATGCCCAACACTACGGCGATCTGACCGTTGCTAAGCAGGATATTGGCCAGTATGAGGGACCCAAACAGTTCAAATCGGCGACTGTTAATACAGGCAATGATGATGAGCACCGGGAGGTGGAGCAGGAGATTGTCAGCTTACGTGATGTACCGGTAGCTATGGCTCAGAAAGCCGTTGTCCAATCCGTGACCAATGATGACAAACTCCAAGCCGTCGAACAATTGGAACAGATTCTGATCGGTCGTCAATTAGTTGACAAACATTTCGTAGAGTTTGCCACCGATTTGGAACAGTTGACTGGTCTGGACAGTCAACTATTGGTTAACCAACGCCAGGAGTTGTTGACTGAGGGTTCGGGTGATTGTTATCAACAATTTGTCGATACTTTTCACTCAAAGTGTTTCAATATTAACGAGGTTTGTGTTTCTCATATATAGAAAAAAAATTTTTTTATTGTTTTAATAATAATTGGTTTTATTTTGTGTCAATACCTATATATATAGAATCCATACGTTTTGGGCAAACTTAACGTATTTGTCAATATCTGTGAACACTTGACGGCCAGACAACAGGCCATTGCATTGAACCAATTGGTCGGTCAATGCGAGACCACTAATATTGTAGGCAAACCCGAGCATATCATCTAAAAAATTAAATAAATAAATAATTGTATATATACTGTATATTCATATATATTACTATATTTATATACATTGTTAATATACTGTAATGTTAAACATTAATTAACACCTAAATAAATAAATAAATAATTTAAAAAAAATATTTTGTTATATAATTTATAGAATTTTAATTTTTTATTCATTTAATATAATTATTATTATTTTTAATATAATTATTATTAATTTTACAAAATAGTTTAAATATAACTAATCGGCTTAGGATTTAATAACTAATAATTTAAATAAATTTATTGTTATTTTTTTATTATTATTAAATATTGGAAAAATAGTTTATATTAAACTAATTAATTAAATTTTTAACTATACATTACAAAAAAAATCAAAATTTATAAAAATTAAATATAACTAAATATTTTTTTTAACTAATAACTAAAATAATTGTCTATTAAATGCTTTAATACACTTATTTAAAACTATTTTTTTAATTATATATTTTGTAAAGTTTACATTTGTTTTTTTTATTTATAATTTTTGTTTTTTAAAAAAATAAATTTATTAACTTTTTTGAAATTGTTTGCTAAAAATTTTTTAGATTATACTGTAATTTATACAGTAACTATTAAAAAAATTATTAAAATTATAATTGTAAGTATTTTTTTAATAAAAAAATAAAAACTTAAAAATTATATATATATATATATATTATTTAATGATAACTTTAAACTATATATAAATCATGTGCTTATTTGCTAATAAGTTACTACTAATACAATACAGTAATAATAATAAATTAGACTTTTAGACTAACCTAGACCTCCAAGTGCTCCAGTCATATGATAGACTGATATTAATATATGATTTGATAATAAAAAAAAATAATATACTATAAGTTTAGGTTAAAAGTTAATTAACTAATAAAACATTGCAATATCTATATGTATTATTTCAATTATCAATATATATATATTGCAATATATAATACTATTGTCAGCTAATGTACTAATAATAATAATAATAATAATAATAATAATAATCGGTCAACACTTCAATATATATATATATATTAATTAATATATGCTTAATATTATTATTGCATAAAAAATATTAATAATAAATTTTTCTTACAAATTATATCTATATATCTATATATTAATAGATAACAACAAATATAAATATAAATACTTATTGAAAAAAAGTTAATTAAAAAATTACATTATAAAATATTTTTGTTTAAATAGAGTACTACTAAATAATAATACTAATAATAATAATGAAAATTATATTGATTTTGGTGGTTTGCTATTTGGCTGCTACCAGTGCCTACCGTTTTGATATCCCGGAGCTGCCGGTCAATGCCAATGGTACGAGTTGGGCATTTTTGGCTGCCGGTGGTAACGGTTTCTCATTGGACTGGTCTATCCAGGTATGCAAACAACAACAAAAATTAGCATGCTAAATAAACTTAAAAATTTTAAATTAATTTATTTTAAATTTTTTGTTTTTTGTAGGCCGATGTCTACCATGCCTTTCAAGTGTTCAAAGCTCGTGGCGTACCCGAGGAAAACATAATTGTCATGCATTTGGACAATCAGGCCAACAAAAAATCTAACCCTAAACCGGGCACAGTTATCAATGTCCCGGGTGGTCCCGATGTCTATCATGGTGTACCCAAACACTATACTGGACTGGAAGTTACTGCCAAAGTAAGTGTTTGTTTGAAATTGTTTTTTATTTTTATTTTTTGTGTGTATATGTATTTAAACTGTTATATATATATATATATATATATATATATATATTGTTGTTGTTGTTGTTAGGAAACTATACCTATTTGTTTACATACATATCCTACTAGTTTATAAAACTAGTACTAATTAATACATTTAAAAACTAATAATAAAATATGAAAATAGTATTATAAAATAAAAATAGTATTATATAATAAAAATAGTATTATAAAATAAAAATAGTATTATAAAATAAAAATAGTATTACAAAATAAAAATAATATTATAAAATACAAATAGTATTATAAAATAAAAATAATATTATAAAATACAAATAGTATTATAAAATAAAAATAATATTATAAAATAAAAATAGTATTATAAAATACAAATAGTATTATAAAATAAAAAAACTTTAAATATTTTTTATACATACTGTACTAATAATATTTACTTATAAATTTAAAAAACATATAATTGTTTTCAATTAATAATAATAATAATAATAATAATAATAATATATTAGTTTTATATAAAATTAATTAATACATAAATACAAGAAAAAAAACTTATTGCAAATAATTTTCTAATATATATATATATTAAATATTTTTTCACCCACCCATCCTACCCAATACTCACCCACTCACTCACCCAAATGGTATACCCAGAACTTTTTAGGTGTACTACGTGGCGATGAAACCTTAAAACAGCAGGGTAAAAAAGTATTGGAATCGGGACCCGAGGATAATGTATTTGTCTATTTTATGGACCATGGTGGCCATCAGTTGGTTGCCTTTCCACATGGCGGCTATATGTATGCCAAGGATCTCATTGCTACGTTCAAGGAAATGTATGCAAACAAAAAATACCAGAAACTAGTATTTTATTTGGAAGCCTGCGAATCGGGATCCATGTTCAATACACTACTACCCGAGGATATCAATGTCTATGCYGTCACCTCATCGACACCCACCCAATCCAGTTGGGCCTGGGGTTACGATAAAGTTTACAAAGAGTATACAGGTTAGTTAGTTAGTTTTTTTTTTGTGTAAATTAATTACTTAATAATTTTTTTAATTGTTCAACTATTATAAATATAATTATATAGTTTTAGTAATTAAGTAATTTGTGTATACAAAAAAAATATATAGTCAATTAATATACATTATAATAATAATAATCTATAATTAGTTATAGTTAGTTATAATTAGAGTATACCGGTTAGTTTTTATAATTTAAAAAAAATAAATATTATTATTAATTATTATTTGTTATTTAAAAAATGTTTGCTACAAAACAACAACAACAATAATTAGTTAATAATAATTAGCTAATTAAATATTAGTATTTAAACAACTAATAATTAAATAAAATTAACAACAACAACAACAAACCAATATATAAATTATTAAAAATTATACCGGTTACTTTTACCAAAATAAAATTTCTAACATTATAAATCAATAATTTATTTATATATGAGGTTCTCTCTCTCTCTCTCTCTCTCTCTCTCTCTAATTAATTACCTAATCAACAAATAGCCGGTTATTTTGCTGCCACTTGGCTTAGAAATACTGAACAAAAACAAACCGAATCACTGGATGAACAGTTCAAATATATTGAGACCGAAACAGCTAAAGACTACTCTGACCCGCAATCTGGCCAGAAATGGCATCAAAATGCCCAACACTACGGCGATCTGACCGTTGCTAAGCAGGATATTGGCCAGTATGAGGGACCCAAACAGTTCAAGAGTGAAGTCAATACTGGCAGTGATGAGCACCAGGAGATTGTCAGCTTCCGTGACGTACCGGTAGCTATGGCTCAGAAAGCTATTGTCCAATCCGTGACCAATGAAGACAAACTACAAGCTGTCGAACAATTGGAACAGATTCTGATCGGTCGTCAATTGATTGACAAACATTTTCAAGAGTTTGCCACCGATTTGGAACAGTTGACTGGTCTGGACAGTCAACTATTGGTTAACCAGCGCCAGGAGTTGTTGACCGAAGGTTCGGGTGATTGTTATCAACAGTTTGTCGATACTTTTCACTCAAAATGTTTCAATATTAACGAGGTTTGTGTTTCTCATATATATATATAAAGTAAATATTTTTTAGATAATAATTGTTTTATTTTTTTTTGTGTCAATACCTATATATACAGAATCCATACGTTTTGGGCAAACTTAACGTATTTGTCAATATCTGTGAACACTTGACGGCCAGACAACTGGCCATTGCATTGCACCAATTGGTCGGTCAATGCGAGACCACTAATACTATTGTCGGCAAACCCGAGCATATCATCTAAAAATAGTTAATATCGATAAATAAATAACTAATTGTATATATACTGTATATTCATATATAGATATTAATATATTTATATACATAGTTAATATACTGTAATATTAAACATTAATTAACACCTAAATAAATAAATAAATAAATTTGTTAAAAAATATTTTGTTATATAATTTATATTGAATTATAATTTTTTATTTATTTAATATAATTATTATTTATTTTACAAAATAGTTTAAATATAACTAACCGGCTTAGGATTTAACTAATAACTTAAATATATTTATAGTTATTTTATATTATTATTATTAATTATTGAAAATATAGTTTATATTTTGTTAATTTGTAAAAAATTAATTAATAAAATTAAAAAAAATACATAGCATAACATTTCATAAAAATTAAAAATTATATATAATTAACTATTTTTTTAAAAATAATAACTAAAATAATCGTCTATTAAATGCTTTTAATACACTTATTTAAAACTATTATTTTAAATATATATATATTTTAGATAATATTTGTTTTTTTTAATCTATAATTTTGATTTTTTTTTTAAATTTAGTTTAATAACTTTTTGAAATTGTTTTCTAAAATTTTGTTTAATACATAAAACTTCTAAAAAATCTAATATAATAATAATATATATTTTTTTATAAAAATAAAAACTTAAAAATTATATATTAATTAATCATAACTTTAATAATTTAAAAAAAAATCATATGCCTATTTGCTAATACTACTAATACAATACAGTAATAATAATAAATAACTTTTAGACTAACCTAGACCTCCAAGTGCTCAGTCATATGATAGATATACTGATATTATTAATACATTTGATAATAAAAAAAGTTTAGGTTAAAAGTTAAGTAACTAATAAAACATTGCAATATCTACTGTATTATTTCAATTATCAATATATATACAGTATATATATTGCAATATATAATACTATTGTCAGCTAATGTACTAATAATAATAATAATAATCGGTCAACACTTCAATATATATATTAATTAATATGTGCTTAATATTATTGCATAAAAAAATAATAATAAATTTTTCTTACAAATTAAATATATATATATATATATATATATATATATATATATTAATAGATAACAACAAAAATAAATATAAATACTGATTGAAATAGTTAATTAAAAATTATATTATAAAGTTTTTTTTAAATAGAGTACTACTAAATAATAATAATAATAATAATGAAAATTATATTGATTATATCGGTTTGCTATTTGGCTGCTGCCAGTGCTTTCCGTTTTGATATCCCGGAGTTGCCGGTCAATGCCAATGGTACGAGTTGGGCATTTTTGGCTGCCGGTGGTAACGGTTTCTCACTGGACTGGTCTATCCAGGTATGCAAACAACAACAAAATTAGCATGCTAAATAAACTTAAAATTTTTAATTAATTTATTTTTAATTTGTTTTTGGTAGGCCGATGTCTACCATGCCTTTCAAGTGTTCAAAGCTCGTGGCGTACCCGAGGAAAACATAATTGTCATGCATTTGGACAATCAGGCCACGAAAAAATCTAACCCTAAACCGGGCACAGTTATCAATGTCCCGGGTGGTCCCGATGTCTATCATGGTGTACCCAAACACTATACTGGACTGGAAGTTACAGCCAAAGTAAGTTTGTTTTTAAAATCGTATTTTTATTTTTATTTAGTGTATATGTATTGATATGTAGATTGTTATACAATTTTTTGTTGTTAGGAAACTATACCTACATATATTTGCATACATATCCTACAAGTTTATAAAACTACTAATTAGTACATTTAAAAAAAATAATAAAATTAAAATAGTAATATAACATAAAAAAAATATACTAGTAAATAGTTTTAATATTTGATATTTATTGTATATACTGTATACTAATTATATAAACATTTACATAATTAAAAACATTTAATTATGTTTTCAATTAATTAAAATTAATAACTAATATATATATATATATATATATATATATATTATAGTTTTATTTAAATTAATATTCATAAAATCATTTTTTTGTTAAATTTTTACAAATAATTTTATCTAAATTTATAAAATATTTTTCACCCACCCATCCCACCCACCCACCCATCCCACCCACCCACCCATACAATGGTATACCCAGAACTTTTTAGGTGTATTACGTGGCGATGAAACACTAAAACAGCAGGGTAAAAAAGTATTGGAATCGGGACCCAACGATAATGTATTTGTCTATTTTATGGACCATGGTGGCCATCAGTTAGTTGCATTTCCACATGGCGGCTATATGTATGCCAAAGATTTGATTGCCACGTTCAAGGAAATGTATGCAAACAAAAAATACCAGAAACTAGTATTTTATTTGGAAGCCTGCGAATCGGGATCCATGTTCAATACACTACTACCCCAAGATATCAACGTATATGCCGTCACCTCATCTACACCCACCCAATCCAGTTGGGCCTGGGGTTACGATAAAGTTTACAAAGAGTATACAGGTTAGTTAGTTTTTTTAGTTAAATAAATAAAGTAATTAATTAATTAAAAATTAATTAATTAATATTTATATATATATATATATATACAGTATATATAATTATTATTTATTATTAGTTTTTAGTAATCATAAGTGGTGTATACAAAAAAGTAAATTAAAATTATAGTCATTTAATAATTATAAATCTATAATTAGTTATTTTAATTTAAATTCTGTTATATATATATAATTTAGTTAATAAATTAAAGTTGAAATAGTTATGAAAAAAAATTAAGTAAAATTAGATAGGTAAAATCTAACATATATTAATTATTAATATTTTTAAATTAAAAATCGTTAACCTAATTAATTTTAGTTATTATTATTATTATTATTATTATATGAGTAGTTTAATAATTAAAAATTACACAAAAATTTAAAAAAAAAACAATATTTAATTAATTCAATTGTTCTCTCTCTCTCTCTCTCTCTCTCTCTCTCTCTCTCTCTCTCTCTCTCTCTCTCTCTCTCTCTCTCTCTCTCTCTCTGTTATAACCTAACCACACAAATAGCTGGTTATTTTGCATCGCAATGGCTTAAAAATACTGAAGAAAAACAAACCGAATCACTGGACGACCAGTTCGAGTATATTAAGACCAAAACTGCCGAAGACTATCACGACCCGCAATCCGGCCAGAAATGGCATCAAAATGCCCAACACTACGGCGATCTGACCGTTGCTAAACAGGATATTGGACAGTATGAGGGACCCAAACAGTTCAAGAGTGAAGTTAATACAGACAGTGATGATGAGCACCGGGAGGTGGAGGAGATTGTCAGCTTACGTGATGTAACCGTAGCTATGGCTCAGAAAGCGATTGTCCAATCGTTGACAAATGAGGACAAACTCCAGGCCGTCGATCAATTAAAACAGATACTAACGGGTCGTCAATTGGTTGACAAACATTTTCTAGAGTTTGCCACCGATTTAGAACAGTTGACTGGTCTGGACAGTCAACTATTGGTTAATCAGCGCCAGGAGTTGTTGACTGAGGGTTCGGGTGATTGTTATCAACAGTTTGTCGATACTTTTCACTCAAAATGTTTCAATATTATTGAGGTTTGTGTTATTAATTACACTTATATTGTTATATAAATTATTATCAATTTTTTTGTGTCAATACCTATATATATATATATATACAGAATCCATACGTTTTGGGCAAACTTAACGTATTTGTCAATATCTGTGAACACTTGACGGCCAGACAACAGGCCATTGCATTGAACCAATTGGTCGGTCAATGCGAGACCACTAACACTATTGTCGGTAAACCCGAGCATATCATCTAAAATAAATAAATTTCAAAAAAAATTAATTAAAAAAAGTCACTAAACTATAATATAAAACTCATTTATAACTGTTTTAATTAATTAGTTACAGTTTTATTTTTGTAAATATTTTGACTTTTATAAAAAATAAAATAATAATAATAATAATAATAATAAATAAAACAACTGCATTTAACTGCATAAATAAATAATTAAAACTATTATTTTAAAATTAAATAAGCTACACGATATAAACTTATTAATATTTAATTAAAATTAGAAAAAAAATAAATATTGATTAATATTTAATTTAATTGTTTATAAATATATATATAACAATTTATTTTATCATAATTGATATGTAATTATAATTTTCTATATAGAAATTTATTTAATTAATTAATTATAAGGTATACACTGTATATATATAGTATTATATACTATAATAACAACAATAAAATATTTTAATTAAAAGTTTTTTATTTTTGAATTTATCTTATTGAATTAATTATAAAGTATATATATTCTATATAGTATTAATAATATTAATTTAATATATACTATAAAAATACTACTAATATATAATATATTATCAATTACATATGATTTTTTTTTAAAACAATAACAACAATCATTTTTTATTAAAAATTTATTTTTTTAGTAATCTTAATTAATTAATTAATTAATTGACAATTTTGCTATTAAGCCAATCAAGTTGATCGTATACATTAGCATAGCCAGATGCTATTTTAGTAGTATCCTGTAAACATTTAGGTGAACCAAACGATACAATACCGGCCAACTTCTGGTCGATGACAAACGGTCCGCCAGAATCACCCTATTTGGTTGGTTAGGGGGTGGGTGGGGGTAGAGGGCGGAGGGGGTTGTTATATATATAGGGTGTTAGGGGTTTAAATAATAATAAAATAAATTAATAAATTTTAAATGTTATAAAAATAGTATATATATATGTATATATTTTTAACTTAACAAATTAATTAATTAATTAATTATCTAAAGTTTGTTTTGTTTGTTTGTTTAATACACTAAAAATTAGTTGATTATTAAAATAATGATAATTATTATTATTTAATTAATTTTAATATCAAATATATAATCTTATAATCTAATATTAATTATTTTTTTTTTGTAAATTTTATATACATGTATAATACTATATATATTAAAAAAAATCAATTGTTTGCTAATTTTATATATATATATATACACTGTATTATATACACTATACTGTCTATACTGTCTATACATACAGTGTATACTATAATATTGTTATAATTAATTAATAGTTAAAAATTTTTAGATATTTAAAAAAAATTGAAAAATTTTGAAAAACTAATATTTTAGTCTTTAATAATAATAATAATAATAACTATGAAAATACTACATACATGACAACCCGATGATGCCGGAGCACCGGCACAAACAATACGTTCGGTAATTTTCTGGCCATATTCCGGATAAGTACTGTCCCATTGTTGTTGACATGTCTCCCTATCCACTACCCTGAACTCGGCATACTGTAGGTCAACCGGTGAACTACTGGTACCTCCGACTGTATTACCCCAGCCGGTCAACTGTGCCCTATCATCGCCCGATACAGGTGCCCGATCTATGAGTTGAATAGTTTGTACGCTATCCGCATTTGTTTGGATATCACCGTCCAATGTTAGTACAGCGTAATCGTAGTCGATAGCACTGGTATCCCAGTCGGGATGCATTACGATTTCAGTAACCAACTGGGTAACGGCCAGTTGGGTCCTATCCAAGCCACCGTATTTTACTTGCAATGTAGTCGGCTGGGCACTGGGGTAGGTTAAGGGGATAGAGGGTTATGTATTGTTAATTGAATATTATATTATAGTTTTTTTTATAATAAAAATTAAATAATATAATAGAAAATATATGATATAATTTAATAGTATTAATAATAATAATAATAATAATAAATTACTAGTAACTTATGTTTATTTGTTTAACTGTATAAAAAATACAATACAAATACATAGTTTTATTATTATAATTATGATTATTATTATTATTATTACTATTACTATTACTACTACTACTACTACTACTACTACTACTAATAATAATAATAATAATAATAATAATAATAATAGAATTATTAATTAAAATATTAAATTATTAATAAAAAAAAATTAAATTATTAAAATTATAATATTAGATTAAAATTAAGTAAATAATAATTATTTTTAATTACATACCCGTCAACACAATGGGCAGCCGTTACAACTGACCGCTTGCCGACCAGCGAACCGCCGCATATATGACTCCACCCGAACCAGCCCTTACTGACCAACGATATCTGCCAGGGTGCCTCACCTAACTTAGCTGGTCGTCCACCAACTATACGGCCACCACCACCAACACCACCACCAGCATTACGGCTGAACAATGGCGACAAACGGGAACAGTTGGCCAGATTAACGGCCACTACTACTACTACTAGTGCAGCACTAGTTAAAAATTTAAACATAATTTCAAGTTATGTTGTTTTTATTTATAATTATAAATAATTATTAACTAAATTAAAATAATAAATTAAAATAATTAACACATTAATTTTTAAGGTAGTTAAATATGTTTTTATGTTTTTTTTAATATTTTTTTTCTAATTTATATATATATAGATTTTTTTTATAGCATATATATATATATAATGTATGTGTTATTTAATTTTTAATTTTTTTGTTTGTGTAAAATAGATAATATTTTTGTTTTTTATTGTTGGCTATAAACTTTTTTTAGGATATTTATGTTTTTTTTAATTTATATAAAATAATAATAATAATTAATGAATGTAATTTTTTTGATATATAATAATAATATTTATTAGTTGATAGTTTTATTATTATTATTATTATTATTATTATTATTATTATTAAATATTAAGTACAATATGCACTTTAGTATTATTATTATTATTAGTATTTGTTTGAAACATTTTATCTTTAAAAAAAATTATATAAAATAATATTTTTATAATTATATATTTGATTAAAAAATTACATTATATAGTTATAACATTATAGAAATTTTTTTAATTTTTTTTAAAAAACATTAAGTACTTTATCTTAATAATAGGTTTAATAACTTTTATTAGACAATAGTAATTATAGTTATAAATTAATTATAAAAATTGCATTTAAAAACTGTAAAAAATGTGTCACATATTTTATTTTTGTAAAATTTTTTATTTTAACTTTTAGTACTGATAAATTATTTTATTTTATTTTCTAAGAAAATTACAATAAAATAATTATAATAATCAGTAATATTCAGATTATATCTTATTTTAAAAAAAATATAATATAAATAATAACAATTTTTTTATAAAGTCTAATAATAATAATAATAATAAAATATTTGAATTACATATCTAACTAGGTTTAATTAAACTTAAAAAATTATTTATTTGAATTACATATACAGTTAACTATTATTGTTAATACAGTATATAGATATTATATAATATAATAATTCAAAAACATTTATACTTATGTAAGTTTATTTTATAATTAATTATTTAATTATTAAAAAAAAAATTATTGTTTTGTAAAAATATTTATATGCCGAAAATTAATATATAAATAAATATATATATATATATATATATATATATAGCCATTTATCTAGTTTATCTAATAAGTTATTCAATTAACTTTTTGAAATTATAATAATAATATTAATTATTTTAATTTTGTTAGAATAAAGCTATAATTATAAAATACTTAATAAAAAAAAATAATAATAATATTAAGTACTAGTCGATTAAAACTACAAACTACATAATTTAGATTATAAACTACTTATTATTTATTTAATAATTATTTATTAATTAAATAGTTACTGTTTTTAAAAAATTATTTTTTATGTGGTTATTTTTAATATTAATTATTATTATTATTTAGATACCTGTATAAATCAATATTATAAATTTAAATAATATTTACTTAATATTTTATAATTTTTAAAATATTTTTTTTTTAAACTATACTATATACAGTATATCAAAACAATGTAAAATTATTAATTAATTTTATAATATATATATATATATTAATAATAATTAATAGTTCATATTTAAAAATAATAATAATAAATAATTTATTAGTATAAATAAGGAGAGGATATAGAGAGACTATATTATAAAATTATAAATTATAAATTTAACTATTTAATAATTATGTTAAATTACTAGTTACAGTTTTTTAAAATTTTGTTTACAAAATTTTTATAATTAATTACAATTTAATTTTTCACTATAATTAACTAAATAAATATTTAAAAATATTTATAGTAAATAAAAATAAATTTTTTTCTGACATAGAATTGATGTCTATATTTAGAAAAATAAATATTACTATTTATGTAAATAATAATTATATTTATTTATTTGTACAGTTTTTTTATAAATAATATTTAAATTTTTTAAAGATTTTTTATTTAAAAATTATTGTTTTAATATAATAATAATTTAAATAGTTAAATTACATTTTAATCTAGATAATTAAAAATTATTTATTTGAATTATATTAATTACTTAGCAAATATTTATGGTTTTACTATTTTTATAATTTAATAATTTAATTTTTTTTAACTTGTTATTAATATTAGATTATATAAAGTTTTTTTTAAAAAATTTATTTATAAAATTAATTTTTGTAGTTAGATAAATTTATCATTTTATTATTTATCAATTTAATAATCATTGTAATAAAATAGTTACAGTTTTGTATTTTATTTACTAGTTTTAATTTATTTGTGTATTTTTCTATAAATATAAAAACAATGATTAATTTAAGTAATAATAATAATAATAATAATAATTTAGTAAAATTACTAAATTAATTATTGTAATCTACTCTATAAATTTTAATAATAATAATTTTTAATTAAATAATGGTAATTTTTGTGTAATATATAACTAATTTTTTTTTTAAATAAAACAATTTTATAAATTATATTTTTATCTATTTACTAAATATTTTAATTAAATAGTTACATTTTTTATTTTATTAGAATTTTTTTGTTATTCAAATAAAGTTTGTTGGTTATTATATTATATCTTTTATTATTTTAAATATTTATAATAAATGTTGATTTAATTATATTATAATTTTTGTTTACTTAAAATATATATTGAATAATAAATGTTTTTTTTTCAAATATATATATATATATTTGTATAAAAAAAATCATATAATGTATATCTAAATAATATTTACTTTATAGACTAACAAAATATTTCAAATATTTTAATTAAATTTTATACAAAAAAAACATATTTGATTAGCAAATAATTTATTATTTTTATAAATATTCATCAAATTAATATTGTTTTTAATAAACAACATTAAATGCGTTTTTATTTTTGTATTAATTATTAACTAATAATTATTTTTTTAGTAAACTATTATTCAAAATCAATAATAATAATGTTTAATAATAATAAATTTCAAACTAATTTATTAATACTAATAATAATAATAAATGTTATAAAATTTATTAATTGCTTAACAAATACAAAACAATTGGCAACAATTAGTGATAAACAAAATCAATTAATAAATATTAATAATAATAATACTATTAATAATATTAATAATAATAATACTATTAATAATATTAATAATAATAATACTATTAATAATATTAATAATAATAATACTATTAATAATATTAATAATAATAATACTATTAATAATATTAATAATAATAATACTATTAATAATATTAATAATAATATTACTATTAATAATAATAATAAACAAAATGATAAACTTGTAATCAATGCCTACTTTACTAAACAAGAGTATACTTTAGACATGACATACGCTAATCAAAGTGTAATTATTAACCATTTTATTAACTAATTATTAACTAATTTATTAATTATTATCATAATTTAGATACAAGTGTCAGGTCATGCACTGGTAGACCAAGTAATCAACTGTACTATTGGTCAGCAAATGTTTGGCCACCAGTGTATGAAAACGTTAGGCCAACTATGGCCACAACCTCCCGGAGCTGCATCTGCTGATCGACAACAACATAATATACCTGAGTTTAGTTCAACCGAAAACCGGGATCTCAACTATACCTATAGCTATGATTTTCTAGGATTACCTACCAGTGCTGGTGCTGCTGCTAATAATACAACTATACCACCTATAGTTAACCCGATGTTTGACCAGTTAAGGTGTTGCCTGATCTATGATTTAGTTGACTGTTTGCACAGTCAGTACCGCAACCGTTGTCCGAGTCTAGCATTTCTGCCCATCGATGAAATGCTACACATGTTTATGATGCAAATTGTCGACAACTGTCCCGCTTATCATATATCATCGGGTAATGAACTGTTTAGCGCCGTTACCTACAATAGGTATGTCGAAGACAGTCCTACTATTACTAGTAGTAGTAGTAGTATAGAGTGTAGGAAACAGTTTGCTAATAAAACTACAGGTTCTCAACAACAACAACAACCCAAACAAAAATTCAAAAACAATTCAAATAATTTCAATACTAATCAAGTTTTTATTGTTTATACAATAATTATTTGCTTATTTGTTAATTAATTTTAATTAACAAAAAAAATTTTTTTTAATTACATATCATTTAACTAACAAAATTAAAAAAAATATAATATTAAATATTAAAAAAAATTTAATTTTTAATTGAAGCTCCGGGATATGGGGGGGGGGGGGGGGACAGGGATGATCTATAACTCAACAATTAAAAACAATAACAAAATAAAAAATTAAAAAAAAACATAATATACTAAATACATTAATCATTATTAATATGTGTATTTTTTTTGGGGGGGGGGGCGGGAGGGGAGAAATTTTCTCAACAACAAAATTTATTTTTTTTTTTGAATTAAACAATTAGTTTATTAGTTTTCAAACCGGTTAACAATTCATAGGATGTTATCATAAAATACATTAAGTTATACATAAAAATTTTGACAATTGTTTGACGATATAAACCGGTTATCAATAATAGACTATAGATATAGTAACCGGAATCGCATATTAGATAATCTAATAATAGTTGTCTACAAATACTACCGACACCACCACTACTATTACCACTAGTAGTAGTAAATGTATGCCAAACTTTACGCTGATTTGGACACTCAAAGTGTACGGGTATGGTATGCAAACGGGTCGGACACCAGCACCGATCGGCACGAAACCACTGGCTATGATGACGCCAAACACCCGTACGATTGGCCAGAAAACCAATCAGAAAGTTATCTTCGGGTACACCAGCAACCGGTATGTCCTGATGTTTGGCCAGTCCGGCCAACAGTGTATCCCTGGATTGGTTGTCCATAATATAGGCAGCACCGGCTACCGTAACCGGTACGGCATCTGAATCGCTTGGCCAGACTTCGGGCGATACATAATTGGTTTCGTATCGATAGCGGGGTACCAGTGCTGCCAAATGTGCATGACCATGTATACCTGGTGACCGGCTAATATCGGGTAATACCCGTACGAGTAGATCAATATTGACAAACACATCGTCGTCGAGTTTCATCAATAGTCTAGCCGTTGGACATCGGTTTCGGTGCCAACCGATCATTGCTATGGCTTTCAGTGTACTGTTTCGGTAGTGATCGTCGAAACCAAATTGCAATATATCATCGTAACGATTGGATTCCCGTACAATCAGCTGCTGATGGTTGTCCATAGGTTGCCGCCGCCGACACTGGCCAGTTATAAACCATATGTCCAGTCCGGGGTATCGTTGTTTGGCTGCACCCACCCATCCCCGGCGTAGCTGTTGTCGCCTATCGTAGAACTTACGGCCCGAACAACCCGTATGTATGAATATAGTAATGTCTGGTCGGTGGTGTCGGTGCTGTCGATGACTATCACTACTACTATTACTACTACTACTACTGTCATCACTACTACCACTACTACTACTACTACTGCAATGTCTGTGTTTTGGTTCAATTGTTACGATTCGGGTCAGCGATAGATAGTGTTGTCGTAACCGTTGTTGGCTTTCTTGTTGATCATCAGCACCGGTATGTTGTTGTTGTCCATCAGCACTAGTATGCAGTTTATTATTATTATTATTATTACATTTTTCTAATAATAGATGATAGCTAACTAATATAATTAATTCAATCAATAAAATTATTGATATAATTAAATAGTGATTTTTCATTTTTATTTTTTTTTTTGAATAGTTTTGATTAACTGTTGTTATAAAATTTAAAAAAAATAACTAAATTATTATTTTTAATATAATTCAAAAAAAAACAAAAAATTTATTAAAATATATATAGAATTAATTAAATTGATATCATTATCTATTAAAAATTATTGAAATAAAAATTTTTAGTTTAATTAATTAATATATTTTTATTAATAATTATAAATATTGTTTAGTTAAATGTAATGAATGTGTGATTTGCAAATAATATTTTATTTTAGTTATTTTTATTTTCAATAGAAAATAATTATAACAAATCATTTAAATAAATAATCAGTTTTTTACAATTTATTATTATTTAGTAATTTACAGTATTTTAACTAAATAAAAATTATTATATTCAATTATATTAATATTTATATACTACTACTACTACTACTACTACTACTACTACTTATTCAAACAAAATTAATAAAAGTAATTTTTATCTAAAATTTAAAACAATTAAACTAAATTAATTATTAATTGATAATTATTTATCAAATATAAACTAAATAATATATATATATATTTCTATTTATTAAGATATAATATCCATAACCTAATTATTATTATTTTTTATTTATTAGTTATTTAATAAGTTGTTTGTAAAGTGTTATTATTATTATTATTATTATTATTATTGTATTCAATTAGTAAATAAATAACAAAATATTTTTTTTATCAATTATTTATAATTTATCATATGTAATAAATAAGTTTAAAGTAAATATTATTATTTTTATTGATTTATTTAGGTTATCTATATTTTTTTTGTTAATAGATATTATTGCAAACAATTGAAACAACTTTTTTTTTGATAAAAAAAATTATTTGAAAAAAAAACTATTTTTATTTATATTTAATATATTTAATTACTATTATTTTCGATAAATATTATTGTTGTTTAAAAAAAATCATTATTATTATTATTAAATTTTATACAATGAAATATTTTTGTATTAATTTAGTAGTAATTGCTATAATTATTATTTTAATTATTAATAATATAGTTTATATGAAAACTATAGTCAATAATAATACTAATAATAATATAAATGCCAAATGTCCGCAACCGACCGGTCAATTTCAGCACCCGATCTACTGTGAACTGTACTATAACTGTTGGAAAGGTATCTCACATTTGTCTAACTGTCCCCAGAATCAGGTATTCGACTCATTGGTCAATCAGTGCGACTACTGTGATCAGGTTGACTGCGGCACCCGGCGTCGGAAAACACGTATAACTAATATTTATTTATTTAATTAATTAATTAACTTATAATTATTTATTTTTAATTATTTTAATTTGCATATAAATTTATTGAATTTATTTTTAAAAATTTTATTTATTTATTTTTGTTGTTGTTGCTATTTTAGCATGCTACTTTAAATTAAACTTCAAAAAAATTCCAAACATATAATTATGAAAATTTAAAAATTTTGAAAAATGTTTAGCTTTTATATAATTAATTAATTAATTTTTTTAAAAAAATGTTTATTTTCTTATTATATTTTATTTAATTTTTTTAAAAAATTAAATAATTAACTAATTAATAATAGCAATAAAATAAATAAATAATTATTTAAATCCAATATAAATAACTATTATTATTATTATTATTAAATTGTATTATAAGTATTTAATAAAATTATTATTAATTTGATATACATATAACTTAATATTATATTTTATTATTATAACATCATATGAATTGCTAATCTGTATGAAAACTTTTAAAAAAATAATTATATTAAATTTATAGACTATAATACATAAAATTTTAAAAAACAAAATAAAATAATGACTTTTTAAAAAATTATTTATTTAGTTAAATAGTAATTATAACAATTATATGCAATATTATCTTCAAATTAAAATAATTATTAAAATTTTATTTAATAAGTAATTTTGAAAAAAAAAATTTAAATAGTATTTTTTTTATTCAAATAAATAGATTAAATAATTTTTTTTCATATATTAATAATATTTATTATTTTGATTGTTAATATTTTTGTTGATTAAATAATGAAAAAATATTTAAAATTATTATTAATTACTATAATAAGTCAGTTAATAATTTTATTAAGTTATCGACAATTTATATATAAATGCAATATAATTATTGATGAAAACTACAAACAACAACAACATACCGGTGCTGATGATCAACAAGAAAGCCAACAACGGTTACGACAACACTATCTATCGCTGACCCGAATCGTAACAATTGAACCAAAACACAGACATTGCAGTAGTAGTAGTGGTAGTGGTAGTGGTAGTGGTAGTGGTAGTGGTAGTGGTAGTGGTAGTGGTAGTGGTAGTGGTAGTGGTAGTGGTAGTGGTAGTGGTAGTGGTAGTGGTAGTGGTAGTGGTAGTGGTAGTGGTAGTGGTAGTGGTAGTGGTAGTGGTAGTGGTAGTGGTAGTGGTAGTGGTAGTGGTAGTGGTAGTGGTAGTGGTAGTGGTAGTGGTAGTGGTAGTAGTGATGACAGTAGTAGTAGTCGACAGCACCGACACCGACCAGACATTACTATATTCATACATACGGGTTGTTCGGGCCGTAAGTACTCAGATAGGCGACAACAGTTACGCCGAGGATGGGTGGGTGCAGCCAAACAACGATACCCCGAACTGGACATATGGTTTATCATTGGTCAGTGTCGGCAACCGGCGGACAACCAGCTAATCCTAGACGAGTCCCTCAGATATGACGATATACTGCAATTTGATTTCGTCGACGACTATCGTAATCTATCGTTGAAAACGATTGCAATGATCGGTTGGCACCGATACCGATGCCCATTGACCCGACTATTGTTGAAAGCCGATGACGACGTATTTGTCAATATTGATCGGCTAGTCGTACAGGTATTGCCCGTTTTTCTGGTCAATAGTCGACAGCAGCCGCCGCCGCCACTGGGCATACATGGTTTGATAGCATTGGGACAATTGGTTTCCCGTTATAGGTATCAAATGTCTAGAAATTTATATATAAAAATTAATATTAGGGATATTTCTAGTAAATTTCTAAATAGAAAATTTCTATCTAAATATAAGTATTAGTATTTTAATTATTAATTAATTATTTATTAAATTATATTAAACTGATGATGAATAAAATTTTACAAAACTGGTTATTATTATTATTATTTAAATAATTTTAATTATTATTATTAAATGATTTTTAATTATTATTATTAAATAATTTTAATTAATATTAAATAATTTTAATTATTATTAATAGATAATTTTTAATTATTATTATTAAATAATTATAATTATTATTAATTATATATATTGTATTTTTTATAATAAATCTATAGTATTATATGTCTAATTAAAGGTATCAGAAAAATTTCGTACCCCATACGGTCTGGCCCAGTGGGGCGGGCGGCGGCGACTATCTACCGGTATCCGTATACGGTGGTGCATATCTAATGGACAACCAGACCCGTGATAGACTACTCGATGGTTTACTGGTCGACCAAAACAACAATCGGGACCTGCCTGTAGTCGACATACCCGAAGATCTGATGCTAATCGGTTTGCTGGCCAATCGTACGGGTATTCATCTATATTATAGCCATCAATGGTTTACGGGCGACAATTGCCAGTGTCCTAATCGTTTGCATACCGTTCCCATACACTATGAATGTCCGAATCAATGGGAAATTTGGCAAACATTTACTAATAGTAGTAGAAGTAGTAATAATAATAATAATAATATTGTTAGCAAACTATCCGATATAATTAAATGTGATTTCGGTTATTATTTTAACCGATTTCTATTGCAAACCGGTTATTATAATCAACCAGTTATCCAAATATTTTTACAATCTCTAAGCTATCTATTCAGAGTCATACTTGAAATTTTAACAAATATTAAAAGTGATAAAATAATTGTTTAGTTTTAGTTTTTTTTTATCAATAATTTAATAGTTAATTATATAATAAATTATTATTGTTTTTAAAAAATTATTATTAATTTAATTTAATACAAAAAATTATTATTAATTTAATTTAATGCAAAAAATTATTTTATTATAAAAAATATTTTAAATAAATTATTTTATATAAATTATTTTATATTACTAATAATTTTTTTCAAATATAGTTATATAAAATAATAAAATAAAATAATGACTTGAAAGTTTTTTTTTAATAATTTATTTATTTAGTTAAACAGTACTTTGAAACCATTATATGTATTATTAATAATAATAATAATGTAATTTAATTTATAAGTAATTATAAAATACTAAGTATTTTTTAAAAATTTAATTAATATTTTTTTTTTGTAATAATAACTATTATTATTAATATTAATAATTTTTTTGTTTTAATTATGAAAAATTTAATTAAATTATTACTAATTATTATAATAAGTCAGCTAATAATTTTAGTAATTTATCAACAATTTATCTATAAATGCCATTCAATAATTGTTGATGACAACTACAAACACCAACAACACCAACAACACCAACAACAACATACCGGTGCTGATGATCAACAACTAAGCCAACAACAGTTACGACAACACTATCTATCGCTGACCCGAATCGTAACAATTGAACCAAAACACAGACATTGCAGTAGTAGTAGTAGTAGTGATGACAGTAGTAGTAGTAGTAGTGGTAGTAGTGATAGTCGACAGCACCAACACCACAGACCAGACATTACTATATTCATACAGTCGGGCTGTTCGGGCCGTAAGTACTCGGATAGACGACAACAGTTACGCCAGGGATGGGTGGGTGCAGCCAAACAACGATACCCCCGGCTGGACATATGGTTTCTAATTGGTCAGTGTCGACGTCAACCAGTAGTGGACAACCAGCTAATCCTAGACGAGTCCCACAGATATGACGATATCTTGCAATTTGATTTCGTCGACAACTATCGTAATCTATCGTTGAAAACCATTGCAATGATCGGTTGGCACCGATACCGATGCCCATTGACCCGACTATTGTTGAAAGCCGATGACGATGTATTTGTCAACATCGACCGACTCATACAATTGTTACCCGATTTCGGTAACGGCCTGTACGGACATATATGGCCGGGACCAATAGTACCCCGATTCAAGCACGAAGTAAACTATATATCCCATACTGTCTGGCCATCGGTGAACATCGGCGACGACTATATGCCGCCAACTGTTATCGGTTCGGCCTATATTATGGACAATCAGTCACGTGACCAACTGTTAGCCGGTTTATTGGACAACAATCAGTTGGACATACCTGTTAACGGTGTACCCGAAGATGTTTTCATCATTGGTTTGCTGGCCAATCGTACCGGTGTTCCGCTCATACATAGTCCCTATATAATGTTTGATCAGTGTCTATGCCCTAACCGTTTGCATACGTTTCCCGTACATTATGAATGCCCCGATCAGTTAGATTTGTGGCATAGATTTACCGAAAATAATACTACAAGTAGTAGTAGTAGTAGTAGTAGTAGTAGTATTAGTAGCAAACTATTGGATTTAGTATGCGATATACCATACTATCTATCGGGTTATCAATGGTATACTAAACTCTATCGGAGGCCAGTTATCAAAATATTTGTCCGCAGTCTAACCTATTTATTATTAGTATTTTATGAATGGTTTACTGGTATTAAAACCGGTAAATATATTGATTAGTTAATTAGTTTTAATTAATTAGTTAAATATATTATTTATCTAAAATAAATTTGTTTTAAATAATTAATATTATATACTATGTATAAAAAATTTTGTACATTTATTAACCATTAAAAAAATAATATATTTTTTAATTAATAATAAATTATTATGATATTTAAATTTATTATATATATAAAAATGTATTTTTTTTATTATAAAAAAATAATTTAATTAATTATTTTTAAAAAATTAATTTGTTTTTATAGTTTCTAATGTTTGTTTCTTAATGATTGATTAATTATTATTTTTATTTAATTGAACAAGCTTAATTTTCGTTTTATTTTATTTAATTAACTAAAATCATTATAGAAGCAGTTAGAGTAAAAAAAATTAAAAAATAATTTTAAGTAATAGTATAATTTAAGTAAAATTTTAAAATTTTTATTAATTCAGATATTCAATATACATCTAAATTAATAAGTATAATAATAATCTAATAATTAATTATCGTATATCTAAAATAATTAGTTAAATTATAATATTAGGAAATAAATTTCCAAATAAATTACGACAATTGATATACTAATACCTAGTGTTGGCAAAAAAGAGAAATTTATAAAATAATAGGGAAATTTCTAGAAAGTTTCTAAAAGAAATTTCTATCTATGGGATCCCCTAGTTAATTTTGTTTTCTCTATATTTGTTAACTTGCTTTTACTGTACATTGTTTTTACAATTAATAATTAATTATAAGTATCACTATTTTAATTATTAATTAAAGTAAAAATTTTATTTATTTAATTATATTAAACTATTATATAATAAAATGATGAATAAAATTTTACAAAACTGATTATTATTAGATAATTATTTTTATTTTATATATAGGGATCCCATTGTATAATAATAAAGTTAAATTTCTATAGAAATTTATTCCGTGAGAAAGTTTCTAGAAACTTTCTCACGGAAATTTAATAGAAACTTTCTATTTGCCCATCTCTACTAATACCACAATATACTGGTACTCAAACAATTTAATTTACTCATTTAGTTTAACAATATATATATAGTAAATTAATTTTATCATTATCATTATAAAATATTAATAAATATCTACTAGACTGTGTACAAAAAATATTACTATTGGCTACTATTTCTATTAATTATTAAAATATTTTATTATAAATGTTTTTTAATTTTTAATTAAAATATTTGTTGAAAATAATTAATTATTAATATTGTCATAAAAAATAAATATTTTTTTAGAAACATATTGAATAATATTTTTTTTGATAAAACTAAAATAAAACTTTTTATTATAATTTTTTACAATTAAAAATTGATCCAGTTGACTTTTTAAAATATTTTTTTTTGTATATTTTATTAATTAATATTTTTTAAATATTAATAGTTAACTGTATATATATATATATAATATAAACAGTTAATCAAAAACAACAACAAATAATTAAATTACAATTGTTTATAAAATATTATTTATATATATATTAGCGATTAATTAGTATATTAAAAATAATTAGATAAATAAAATGTAGAAAATAAATTTCCAAATAAAATACGACAATTGATACACTAATACCACAATACAATGGTCCCCAAGCAATGTTCAACTCGTTTGGTTGCATTGTATATAATAAATTAGTTTTATCATCATCATTATTATAATCATTTTTATTATTATTATTATTATTATCGTAAAATATTAACATATTTTTAATAGCCGTGTCCAGCATTTTGTTATATATTCCACTTTCAAACATTGTTTTAGTACTAAAATATTTAAAATAATCATTAATCTATAGTAAAGTTTTTAAAAATTATATAATTATTAATAAATTATATAATTATTAATTAATTATATAATTATAAATAAATTATATAATTATTAATAAATTAGATAATTATTAATAAATTAGATAATTATTTATAGATTATATATTTATTAATATATCATATAGTTATCAATAAATTCTTATTATTAAAAATTAAATAATAATTAATTAATTATTTTTATAATTAAAAATTATATAATAATTAATTTTAGACTAATATTATTTTTTATAATTTTTTTTACTTACATTAACTTATATTGTTTGCCAATAAAACTATTTGAATAGTGTTTGTGTATGAGTTGATCAACAATTTGATTATAATAAGCGTCACGTGCTATATGTATGTCACGTTTATTATCGATTAGTCTATAGACAAACTGTATATTTGGACCAATCAGAACATGCGATTTAGCTGATTGTATTTGATTGAGAATTTTTGAAAAATTATCTTGATAAAAATATGCAAACGATTTCACAATCAATTGTTTACCAAATTTAGCTTGCTCATAATATTTTTGTTCTAAATTTGTTAGTTTTTTCTATGAAAAAAATTAAATAAATAAAATATTAATGTTAATTTGTGTCTTGAATTTTTTAAAAAATTCATTAAAATCTAAAATAATTACAAAAAATAATTAGTTAAATGATAAAAAAAAATTTGAAAATATAAAATTGTTAAACTGTTATGAATTCATATTACTTTTTTTAAAAAAAAATACATCAATAAAAAAATTAATATATTTTTGTATATAATTTTTTTCTGTAAATATGATTAAAAATATTTAAAATAATACTTTTTTGAAAAAAAATCTATTTTATCAACTATTTAAAACCACTAAAGTTAAATATAACTATAATTATCAGTATAGTTTAATTTATTAATCATGCTAAATTATTATATTTGTTTAATAGTATTTATTTTTATTAAGCATGCAAAAATTTTGTTAATATTTTTAGAAAAAAAACAGCTAGTTAAACCTTACATTTGTATTATTATCTAATTGATCAATATCGTTTTGATACCAAATTGGTTGCAATCGATGTTGAATTGTATTGAAATCGTCGAACGAATCGATTTGTTCGGTCGGCTTTCGTATGGTTCCCGATGTTATGTCATTGTTCAGGAAATTTACGATAAAAGTTGCGGAAATTATTAGTGATGCCAATAATATTAGTATAGATTTATTATGTATCAATTGGCGTAATTTGTGAGCTTAATTTAAATTTTAAAAAAATTAAAAATTAAAAAATAATAATTATTTAGTCATTCATAAAAATTAAACTTACTTGATATTAATAATGAATCAATAGAATCAATTAAATAATTAAAAATAATAATAATTTTGTTACTATTATTATTAACATTATTAATATATCCTTTATTTTTGAAATTATTATGATGATGATTGATTTTATAAATTATAAAATATTTGTGCATAGATAATACAATTGTAGCGATTGTAATGCTTATTATTATTAATAGCCATACCTAAAAAAATATATAATAGTTATTTATTTTATTTTATTTTTTAAATTAACATTTTTACTTTTATATATATATATATATAAGTTTTAAGATAAAGCTATAAATTTATTTAATAATAATAATAATAATCTTTATTTCACATACTTGTTATGAAATACAATATTCTCATAATAATATACAATAATATTTGACAATAAAATATGTTAAAATTATTTTAAAATTACATATTTATTTAAAATAACAATTAAGTAAATTAATTATTTTGTTATAATTTGTTTCATCCCTAATATTTTGTGGTAAATTGTTAAATAAATTTACATTATAATCAAAAAAGTTTTTATCAAACCTTTTTAATCTATTAACAGTTTTTCTACATTTTATCCCATGTCTAGTTGTATTATAGAATTCAACACAGTTTATCCAATTGTTAGGAATATCAATGTTTTTAAGTTTTATTTTAAAAAATAACTTCAAATTTTGTAAAATTCTGCGTTTACCTAATGATTCTAAATCTAAAAATTTTAATCTTTCATAATATGATAAATTAAATTTATTCATTAGCATACAGATATATTTTGTCACTTTTTTCTGAATTTTTTCAATTTTTTCAGATTGTGTTGAATTATATACTAAACATAGGTTACAATATTCAATTATGGGTATAATATAAGTTTGATATGCTTTTAAAAAGGTATTACCACTAGCTTTTTTACAAATATTTTTTAAAATTGCAAATTTTTTAATACATTTGTTGTATATATAGTTTACGTGAATATTAAAATTAAAATTTTTATCATAAAATATACCTGCATTTTTGTTATTATCTATATTTTTAATTTTAGTAGAATTTATAAAGTAATCATTTATTTCAGTAGATTTAGTTGAAATTCGCATAAATTCACATTTACTGATATTTAATTGTAACTGATTTATAATACAAAAATTTGAAATGCAATTTAAATCAGATTGTAACTTATGACAGTCATTATTATTATTAATTATTTTGATTAATGTAATATCATCTGCATATTTAAAAATATAACTATTTAAATTTTGTATAATATCTGAAATGTATAGATTAAATAAAACACTTGATGTAACTCCACCCTGTATTACACCAGATTGTACACTAAATAAATCTGATTTATGATTATTATATTTAACATATTGGTATCTATCTTTAAAAATATCACATAAAATATTATAAAATTTACCATGTATATTATAACTTTTAAGTTTTTTCATTAAAATATCATGAGATACAGTATTGAAAGCATTAGAAAAGTCTAAAAATATAATATCTATACCAACAATATTGTTATTAAAAGCATTACAAATTACTTGTTGCATATCTATATGAAAATTTTTTAGACCTATTTTGGTTCTATAAGCATATTGACAATTGGGTAAAATATTATTAAATTCAATATACGGTATTAATTTTTGATTAATAACATTTTCAAAAATCCTAAATAAATTTGATTGAACCCCAATAGCTCTGTAAGAGTTAAATAATTGCTTATTTTTATTACTTTTAATTATAGGTGTAATTTCAATTATTTTTAATTTTCGTGGAAAATGCTGATGAAATAAAATTTTGTTAAATAAAAAATAAATTAATTTTGAAGTACCATTTAAACAGTTTTTTAGTACAATATTATCAATAAATGTTAATCCTT